TAACACCCTCTCTCGAGATAATGATGGGTCTAACCATTAATCTCGCATAATCTATCATATCCCTACCGAGACAATACTTTTTCTTCTAGTAATCTCGATAGAACTGAGCCTTCTCTGGGCCATCAGCTAATGGGTTGATTAGGCCACTTTCCGGGCCAGATTAATAGGTCAGGGTGTGAGCCTGCTCTGATACCATGATAAGTTTCTTGGACTTCTAACTTAAAACCAATTACAATTAGTGGATTGGCCTAAGTTCCTTATATTTTACTCAAGTCGCTTACATATTTCCAATGTATAATCCCATGTTCCTAAAAGTAACTCGTAAGACACAGAAACTCAGGTCCAATATCACTGTGAATGGTCTTTACTTTCTTGGAAAATTGACGTTCGATCATAGAAAAAAATTCTCATAGATGTTGAGCAACTTTTGCTTTGTCAGGTAGAAGGTATAACCAGACTGCTCGTGAATAGGCATCAACAATGGTCAAAAAATAGCGAGATCCACAAAATGCAGTAGTACGATAAGGCCCCCATAAATCACAATGAATCAAATCAAAAACTGCATTTAAAGATTACTTGTCAACTTATTTCCACATGAAGGATCTCGGCATTCTCAAATACTTCATTGGTTTAGAAGTTTCCAGGAGTCCTAAAGGTATATATTTTTTTCAACGCAAATATGCTATTGATATTGTTGCAGAAGTGGGACTTCTCTGGTGCAAACCTGTTGGATCACCTATTGATCAGAACCATCGTTTGAGCTTGGCTTCAGGACCACTTCTTGCGGATCCAGAGAGCTATAGATGTCTAGTAGGACGTCTCATTTATCTTGCTGCGACAAGACCGGATCTTACTTATGCCATACATATATTATCCCAGTTTATGCATTGTCCTCGTCAAGAACATTGGATTGCAGCCTTAAAGGTTGTTCGATTTCTCAAAGGAACTATGGGTCAAGGTATATTACTAAGCTCTGATACCATGATAAGTTTTTTAGGCTTCCAACTTAAAACCAATTGGCAATTAGTGGATTGGCCTAAGTCCCTTATATATTACTCAAGTCTCTTACATATTTCCAATGTGAGATTTTTATCCTAACACAATTTCTTCCGGAGCTTATCGGTTGGTGCAGATTTAAGCAAGAACAGCCTCTGAGCCCTCTCTCATAGAGTCCCTCCGCATTTCAGTCCAGGAGACTGAAGCTCAGTCTTTAATCTCTCCATCCCCATTACCTGAAACCAAAAGACAGATAGATCGATAAGGATAAAGGTTTTATAGTGATTTTGATTTTTAACACATGAAGCACTGTAGTACAACGGAATTACACTTCCTTGACATAACATTACGTTACGTTCAAATAAACCATTTTTAATTCGAATCTTGAGTATGAGAAGAATGAATCCTTTACAGACCTCCATATTTTTTGCTGAGTTGAAGTCATTAAAGTTAAGCGGCTCCACAAGTTTCCAACCCATTAAACTCGACATCTAGGCATGAGTTTACAGAAACCCGCCTAGATAGTGAATAGTGATAGGCATTAAACGCTGAGTTCATTGTTCCATAAACCTTTTTTGTACAATTGGCAAAGATCAACTTCATTTCTATCAACAAACTGAAAGGGATGACTTATTTTTGGAAATGGATTTCTCCCCTCAGCAATACATGTTAAGCAATAAATCCGGACCATTAAAATAATGAAGCCAACAGAAAAGAAAATCATCTTTGTATAAATGAGAGGCAGTGAGGCACTTTGCCTAGGAAGAGGGAAGTACACATGCATACACACAAAGAACCACAGTCTCTGCTGGGAATGCTAAAATGACTTTGTAATGGGTTTTAAACAATATTTTAATATAAATAAATGCTCATTTAGTTTAATGAGTTTTAAATAGATAGTTTTGTTAGAACCAGACATAGATAATTTCTTCGAATATCACCTCGTCTAGGTATGATCGTCTCTCACTCCCAAGAACTCATTTTCGGATCTTGTTCCAAGATTGGAATGATTTCAGTCCCTCCAAATTGAGGAGGCGTATAAAAGATATATATGTAAACACATTATGTTAGGTTTTTTTTTTATTGTAATTACTAATTAGTAGTAGTTAATATACCCTAATCTCTTGCTGTGTAAATAAATGATTCACTCATCTAATAGGAAATCATCTTTCCCATAATCTATATTAGATTCTTTCGCTTAGATAGATCTCGGACAGAAACTTCTCCTAAACCCATATCGAATTCATGTTTATTTCTAGTAATGCACCAAATTCAGATTAAACATGACGAAAATATAGTGTCATGGTCGTTTTTAATATGGATACTAGGATAAGACCTGCGCCTTGCGCAGGGTGAATATATGTAATTAAAATATAAACTTTTAGTATTGACAAATTTAAAATTTACATATGATTGTTTTTGTATGTATTTGAAATTTTAGAATTTTGAAATTTTTATATAATTATCTATACGTAGGATCAGAAACAATTTTAATTAGAAATGTATATCAAATCTTAGAATTTAATGGATCTGATTTCATATATCTTTTTACTTTTCAGTGTTCGAGTGATGGAATATAAATAGAGTGTCACTAGGCTTGATTGGTAGAGTATTAACAAGTTCCCTAATGTTTTTTAAGAAGCAATTGGTAAAATATTTACATTTAAAATATATAAAGTTTCTAAACTAATTTAATATAATTTATTTATTTGTCTAATAATATTAGAAAATTATTTTTTTTTTAAATAATTTTCTAAAAAAAATTTTAAATTTTAAATTATTTTTTAAAAACAATATTTTAAGTATTTCAAAAAAATAAAAAAATTTAAAATTAATTATGGTCATGATTTAACATAATCATAATGATATAAAAAATTTAAAAAAAAAAGTTAACAAATTAAAAATTAACTCAGTTTTATCTCATGATTTAACAATTTAAAAATTAATTATGGTTATGAGAAGTTTATGTTCACGTGTCAATCCTATTTATCTTCCATTTTTCTCTTGCTATGTTTTTTTTATATTTTGGTTATTACTCGATATAAATATTTATTTTGAATTTTATTCTCATTTCGTTTGTTTGTTTTGACCTGAAATTTAGAAAATATTTAAGATTTAAAATAATTAAACAGATACATACTTAGGTAAAGATCTGCAATTTATGCACAATAAGTATTTTATATTTATTGTTTATTTTATATTTTTCTGCATATTATAAATAATAAAATAATAAATATATATATATTAAATAACTAAGAAATCAGTTACTATTATGTAATAAATTGGCGTATGCATATAAATTTAACTATTACTCTTGTTTATTCACAATTAGGGTAAATAAATCACAATAATCAATCTTATATATTGTATATGATATATAATTAAATTTAAATGATATAAAAATAGTAATATAGCACACTTTTAATATGGATATTTATTAAATGAGGTTTCTACTCATATGATTTTATGATTATTTGCATATTTGTGTAACAAAACTTTACACCAACGATTTTTTTTTTATTGTGAGATGTTTAGTAGTTTCAATAATTTATAATCATTTAAAAAAAACAACGACATATTTCAAAATTAAAATATTAACTTTTCAATATATGTTCAAGGAAAATATCAAAATATAAGTATGTATTTCATACGATGTATAGTTTAATTAAAATGATATAAAATATATATAAACTAAAATTATTTCTATATATGGTCTTATAATCATTATATTTTAGTATAGAAAAAAAATTAAAACCTTGATCTTAAAAGTTTATGTGGGACTTTTAACAGTTTTAGTAATTTATACTCATTTTGAAAAATTCGAAATACAACATACACAAAAAAAATCTAGATTTTTATTATATGATTAATTTAATTGTGTAATTTATTTTAATAATAAAGAAATAAAAAAAATTGAAAAAAAAGTATACAGATTGTCATTAAATCTTTATTATTTAAAATCATTAATTTTCATATATATATTTTAATCACATTAGGTAATTCCGTAGGTTTTATTTAAGGAAAGTATGCGAAACAATAAATATTTGATATATGCGACCAACTATAGCCTACGAAATATTAAATTGCTAGAGAATATAATTTTTAAACTATACATTATATCACATGCTCTAGAATCCTTAGAATTTGAAATAGAAGCCAAATAGCTATGCCACGTAGGATTGAGGTTATTTTTAATTATTAGAAACTTAAGGTTACAACTTTTTAAATGATTCTCAAATAATATATAGGGGATGTATCCCTCATCGAAAATTTAGTAAGACCTTAAGTAATATATAAATGATTAAGATCAATCGATTAATCATCTATTGGTTTAAAAATTGGACGCCCATAATAAACTTGAATCTAACATGTATCATAACTAAGATCCTAAAAAAACATAAACCTCTAATTAATTGATTAACCCTTCTGACCGGATATATAGGTCGTGTTTAACCTTCCGACTAGGTATAATTATCGCACTAGCTCGCTCGACCGAACAAAAATATCTTAAAGTTTCGAGATTTCTGGTCATATCATCAGGAATTCAGTGGGATTTTAAGTAATATATGATGGGTTAGAGTCAATCCACTAATCACCAATTGATTTTAAGTTGGAAATCGATAATAAACTTGAATCTAACATGTTCAAAATTGCAAAGTGGTTTAATTTAAGTAGTGAATAATTAAATTGAATCAATTCCCTGGTTAAGAAAACTAGAGTCGTCGTTACTGAGTAGCTTGCCATTCAACGTGTCCAAGTCTAGAGGAAGTTCTGATTATTTCTTCATTACACCAGAGAAAAGAAATTATAAAACGCCTAAGAAGAAGAAGACTTTTAAATTCGACTCATCCAAATCCCTAAACTCCAATTCGTTTGCAAACCAATGAAATTATCCAAATCCACTTAACAGTAAAACACACACACACACACACACACACACACACACACACAGGAAATCAAACAGAGAATAAAGATTATAATTAAAAAGTAGAAAACAGGAAATTAAGGAAATATATTTGTGCTCAAAAGACAATCATTATAGTTGAAGCAACGGTCAGGGGCGTCTGGCTCAGTGCCTAGTATTAACGTAGTGCTGGACGATGGCGAGGGCATTGCTTACGGTTTCGTGAACATTCTTCACTTTCCCATAAATAGTAGCCTCAGACTTGCTCAGCCCCCGCCCCTGGAACACACTCATGAGGGTCTCCGCGTCTGCGAGAGCTTCGCTTGTCCACCTCTTCAGGCTGAAGTATACACCTCCGACGCCGTTACCTCTGAGCAGCAGCTTCGTTATTATGCCGATCATTCTCCTTAGGCTAACTTCCAACCGAGTCACGGTGAGCCTAAGCTGCTTAGCCAACACCTTGTCTTGGAGGTTCGGCGGCTTCGGGTTCGCCACTTCTTTTAATAAGAACGCCGTTGTGTTGAGGCTTTCTTTAAGCAAGAATAGGACCAGTTCTTGTGGACTTTGGATAGCCAGTGAACGCACAACAGGAGACAGCGACCGGACGCACAGGTTCGGGTATTTGGTGTCCTGGCACCACGAGTCCACGTAGGCCTTCGTGTCAAGTTCTTGTGCTGACGCGGAGGAAAAGATGATGTGAGGAAGCAGGCAGATGAGCAGCATGAGGATGATCAGTTTGTTGTTAGCCGCCATTGTGAATATGCGAGACTTGTTCTATATGTGAGCTTAAAGTTACATGGATCGATGCTATAAGGAGTCCTCTTTATATACTAGTAATACATATGCATGCCATGTGAATAGATGTAGATGAGCTGGTTTTAAGATTACTTGAGCTAGCTATACTTTGAAGTTTGAAGGAAGGTTATAAGAACGCCGGTAAGTAAAAGCACTAATTAAATTAATTATAAGTGTATTCGTATAAAATGGAGTATATATATATTACAATTAGAACGTTGTTACTATATACTAGGATAAGACCTTATGCAGAATAAATTTACATAAAATTATTTGAAAATATTATATGGAAAAATAATTTTATATTCTTGATTAAACTAATATTTTGGTCTTTAAACTATTTTCTTAACTTTTTTTTGTTAATTACGTAATTTGTTAATTGATGAGCTGATCTCATTTTTAAAAATGTTTTAGGTTAAAATATCACTTACCGCAAAGAACCTAGTGTTTAGGTCAAAAAATCTCGGATCTATTTGGTTATAATGAAACTATGTCAGTTCGGTTTTATAACATGATTTACCAATTTAAAAATTAATTCTGTTTATAAAATTTTACATTCACGTGTCAATCCTATCTACCTTCAATATTTTTCTCTTTTTGTGTCTTTTTCATTTTAGTTATTGCTCGATATAAATATTAATTTTGAAGTTTATTCTCATTTCGTTTCTTTGTTTTGGCCTAAAATTTAGATAATTCTTAAGATTTAAAATAATTAAAGAGATACATATTTAAGTTAAGATCTGCATTTTTTGCAGAATAAGTATTTTATATTTATTATTTATTTTATGTTTTCTGAATATTATGAAATAATAACATAATAAGTATATATATTAAATAACTAAGAAATCAATTGTATTATGTAATAAATTGGTGTGTGCATATAAATCTAACGATCACCCTTGTTTATTCACAATTAAGGTAAATAAATCAAATTAATCAATCTTATCATAGATATATAGCATATGATATATAATTAAATTTAAATGATATTAAAATAGATATATAGTATATTTTTAATATGTATATTTATTATATGAGGTTTCTACTCATATGATTTTATGATTATTTGCATATTTGTATAACAAAAGTTTACACCAACGAAATTTTTTTTAATGTGAGATGTTTAGTGGTTTCAATAATTTATAATCATTTAGAAAAAAAACAATGACATATTTTAAAATTAAAATATTAAGTTTTCAATATATATGTTCAATGCAAATATCAATATTAGTATATATTTTCATACGATGTATAATTTAATTTAAACGTTATCAAATATATATATATATATATATATATATATATATATATATATTAACATAAAACCTATTAAAATAAAATAATTTATTCATATGCTCTTATAATAATTGTATCTTGATATAAAAAATTTAAAAATTGATCGTAAAAGTTTATGTGAGACTTTTAATAGTTTTAGTAATTTATACTCGTTGTGAAAAATTCGAAATACAACATACACACACAAAAAAACTAGATTTTTATTAATTATTAATGTAATTCTGTAATTTATTTTAATAATAAAGAAATAAACAAAATGATAAAAAGTTTATAGATTGTTATCAAATATTTATTATTTAAAATCATTAATTGCTATATATATATATATATTAATCACATTAGGTAATTCCGTAGGTTTTATTTAAGGAAATCATGCGGAACATTATATTGTTAGAGAGCATAATTTTTAAACTATACTTTACATAAGGTGCTTTAGAATACTTCTAAATTTAATTAGAAGGCATAAAGAGTTTCCACGTAGGATGAGGTTATTTTTTTAATAATACAAATTTAAGGTTATATATTTTCAATTTTTTCTCAATTAATATATAGGGGATTTTTTGTATCGTGCTATAACAAAAAAATGAAAACTATTAATCAAAAATATTATAAGTGAAATTTTTTTAATTTTTTATTAATTTATAGTCATTTTAAAAATTTAAATATAACATATATAAAAGAATCTAGTTTTTTTGTATAGTTAATGTTATTGTTTAATTTATTTCAGAATATAAATTTAACAAAATGAGTAAAAGTTAAACAATTTTTTATTAAATCTTTTATATTCAAATTATTAATTTTCATATATATATATATATATATATATATATATATTATAACCGTATAAGGTAATTACTTAAATTTTATTTAAGGAAATCATGATTAACATTAATAATAGTTTTATGTTTAGTTTAATAAAAATATTATATATTTATATGAACCAATATTTTATTCTAGTAAATTTGAGAAACATTCTCATAATTACACATGTTATAATGTTTCTCAATTAATATATAAGGGATTCCTTTTTTGACTTTTCCGCTTGACCGGACTCGACTTGACAACACTTTAGTTATGATCACAGATATCAACCATCTACTCTATTAAAATAGGGTCATTCTTTTTATCTACTGATACAAGTTGTCATTTAAATTTGGACCATTTCTAAAGTGTTACAAATATGTAACACAAGCCATATAATTAATTGAACCGCATTACTTAAATTAAACCGATGGTTATTTATGGGATATAGTTTTGGACTTACTTTCGTTTTTAGAACAAATTATATAGTTTTGTTTTTGGGCATAGTATTAAAAAAAAACTCCAAAAAAACATTGAATAAACTTTACACCTTAATAGATAAAAAATCAACTATTATTTTTAGGCCCAAAAGGTATTTAATATTTTTAACAAAACAAAATTGTCTATTATTATTCATTTATTTAAATCATGTACTTTAAAACATGTTAATGTATTTTTTATTTTAAATAATAATCACTTTATTTTGCTAAATTTCAATCGTATTTTAAATAATTTATTGTTTTATTTTTCTTAAATAATTTACTGATTTAAAAAAATATAAAGCAAAATCAAAAACCAAATCTAAACACAAAAATCAAAACCAAAAGCTGAAAACACAAGTTATATTTTTTTGTTTTTGTTTATTTACAAGATAAACTATTGCAATTTTTTTTGTCATCTTTTTAGTTTTAAATTAGACGTTTGATTATTTATGATTTGTTTGTTGGTAATATCAGTTCAAACTAATTCAACGGGTCTAAAAATTAAAAACACAAACCAAAAGCTGAAAATCAAAAGTAGAAACTTAAAAACTAAAAACCAAAAACCAAAATCTAAAACAAAATCTAAAAATAAAAACTGAAACTAAAAACTAATGAAAATAATCATCTTCACAAATTTTAGTGAACTGGTTTTATACCAAAACATTCTTTAAATTAAGACAAAACCCAGTTATATAAATTTTTAATCATAAAAAATTTCCGCGCTTTCAATCGCGGATCAAAATCTAGTTGTTTTTATACATGTAACAAGATCCACGTTATAAAATATAATCAAATTTTAAATATATATATATACATGTGCATGATAGACATTGGACACATACAATAATAGCTCGTGGCCGACGAGATCAATTATTCAACACCCTATTTTTTATATTTTAACATTCCATATCTTATCTTTCTCTCCTACATAATCATTCTACCTCTATTCAACATTTATGTTATACAATGATTTTAGTTTAAAAATTTCAACATCATATCCTATTTGATTTATTTTTGTTTAATTTTATAAATTCATATCAATAAAATAATCAGTTTATCTTTTAAAAAAATTAAAAATATTTTTATAAATAAAAGTTTATTGGTGAATAACATCAATACCAAATCAAAAATAATATGTGACCAACAAAAATGAACCAGGTCTTTATCTATAAAACACAGAAAATGATGAATTTTAGTATAATTTAATTTTGAGAAAATACTATTTATGTAGTAAAATTTATTTGAAATAATAAGGATGAGCTAAAGTCTACTTATTATTTTGGAGAAAAAAGGTTGTCCAATTTTATTTACTTCCTGTTAATCATCTGTCACACTTCAATATTTATAATTGGTTAGAACACTCAATGTATACCTCTTTCTTATTTTTCAACTGTTTGGACCTATTCTATTGTTGGGTTTGTTAAAGTCTATGTCCAACTGTTTATTATCCGATTAGTACGATATTGTCAATTTTGGGCCTAATAGACAAGCCAACATGAATTTACTTTTGGTTTCCTTCCTAAAAAGCCTCGTACTAATTAGAGTTGGATATATCTTTATATATTAGACACTCTTTGTCTAATTCTCCAATGTGGACTTAGTTTGTTATCTCACATTCTCCCCCTCAAACTAAGGATCACATTCATCTCGTGTCCCACAACAGACTTTCAGGATCTTTTGACTTGATCTCTGCCACAAACACCTCCCATTCCTAACTTGAAGGGTACACTCATCTCTCAAAGAGTATTTTGGTCTTCTTGCAGATTTTTTCGTCAACCGCTCTGATACCAATGGTTGGGTTTGTTAAATTCCATGTCCAACTCTTTATTATCCGATTAGTATGATATTGTCCACTTTGGGCCTAATAGACAAGCGCGCATGGATTTCCTTTTGGTTTACTTCCCAAAAGGTCTCGTACTAATTAGAGTTCGATATCTCTTTATCTATTAGACACTTTTTTCTAATTCTCTAATGTGAGACTTAGTTTATTATCTCACATCTATCTCTATTCAATGTAGACCAAACTCCCTTGTAGCTGTAAGACTTTTCCTTTGAATTTGCTTGTGTAATGACATTATTGCAGCTGTAAGACTTTTCCTTCACATTTCCTTTAGCAAAACATCAAAAGTAAGATTCTTAAAACAGTTAGAGAGTTGTAGAAACATGAATTAAACCTAGACATGTCTTGTTTAGGCTCTTGTTTCCCCGACCATGAAAAGAATCGGTTAACTTCTAAGTTCAAGTCCAAGGGTGATGCATTACATCTAAAACTGTAGAAGAAGATGAATGAGAGATAGTGGTTGCAAAATAGATAAAACCTTGTTGTATTACTGAGTACAGCGGTTGAAAAGCAAGCTTTATATATAATATACTATAGATGTGGGTTTTTATCA